GCTACGCAACTCCAGCTACATGAATAACGTAGCTGGAGTCGACGTACCTTAGGTCTAGTTACCGCGGGGTCTACACTGCAGGGGGTCGATGGGAGAAAATCTCCTGTCAACTTACCTTACTCTTCTCGTCAGGGGTAGAGTAGAGGGGTCGATTGGAGAGCGATCTGCTGTCGATTTGGCAGGTCTTTACTAGACCCGCTAAATCGACTGCCGATGGATCGATCTCAGAGCGTGGATCCCAGCCCTGAGAGACAGTCCACCATCCACTGCAGCCTGCATGGCTCCTAATCCCCTCTCCCTTGCTCAGCTTCCTGTTCCTGTTTAAATAGCCCAGCCCTTGGGTGAGGCAGGGCCCCGTTGGTTACACCCAGGCTGTCTTGGTTGTAGGCTCCACCCTGTCCCTTAAAGGGGCAGCACACTCCTTCTCACTACTCGTTAATTACCTCTCATCTGGCACCCTTAGTTCCTTATTAGTAAAATCTATAATGGCAGGCACTGATTTTTGTACAGGTTCTTTTTGAGGCATGCAACTTTTATGGCGGAATACTCTCCTTTTCCGGGAGCTATACACAGTCATCTCCTCAAAATAAGGCTTAAGCAAGACATGCGTGATGCATAGGTCTTGTGGCTGTCCCCACTGCATGCGGGGTGAATTTCCCCCATGGGAATTAAACTTCTGCCATGATCATTCCTCACCCAGCAGAAAAAACACAGAAGAGGGAACATTGGTTTGATGGCACCGAGTGATGTACAAGCTTTTCTCCAGCAAGATTATTCCCACTGCTACCCCCATGGTTCAGGCAGAGGCAATGGGTATCTGCACATTGGTTGCACCACAGGAGGATTTCCCAATGCTCGTCACCAAAGGACACTGTTGTTTTCAGCTGGCTGCTGCTGACAACACAGTCAATCAAACCTATCGAACGCTGGGGTCGCTAGCGAAATAGGAACAAACTGTGTGAGCCACAATGCCTATTGGGCACCCATAAAGAAGGACTTTCCAGCTGCAGCACAACATTCATGCAGGAGGGACAGAAAAGGAAAACTGCAATGAACCAGAAAAGAGATTCTAATTAGGCAGAAGAGCAACTCACTGAAGGTTATTTAACATCTCTCAAATACAGTGCGTAGCTCTGCTGTCTGCCATGGCTCTGTTCCCATTCACACCAGCTGAGGAGCTGGCTGTGTGCCTTTGGAAAAGGCTAATCAGTCAAATAGAAAGCTGCCACGTGAACTGTCTGATGGTGCATTCACCTGGAATGCTGAAAGCAGCAGTCTGTCCCAAGGGTGAAGCTTGAGGGGGCATGAGCAGGATGCTGTCAGCAGTTGCTGCTGGCCTCTCGAATCTATTCTTCCTGGAAACATATCTAGAAAGTATTGCCCGGTTTCACTCTTTCTGCAGGTTTTTGGCTAACTGGAGGCTCTGTAACACACTGGCATTCCACCTGCAGCCTGGGTTTTCTCTGTCCTCTTCTTTTAATGCAAGGGGCGGGAGGAAGTCATGATCAACTTGTTCTCTGTGCTTGAACTAAGGCATGGACGATGCACCCTTCTTGAGGGTGCCAGTTCCTTTGTTTCAGTGGGCTGCCATGGCTGCACAGTGAGATGCTGTTCCTTAGGTAACCGGAGTCAGTCCTGTGGAGGGAGGATACATATGAGACCAAAACTTTGATTAGATTCTGTAATTCATTGGGATCCTGTGCAGAGAGCAGAGCGCCAGGGTGATGGGCTTTTCAGTAGGTGATATGCATTGTTCTGTCTCAATGGAAGCTTCATCAGGGTCATCAGTTTAATTCCTAGATAAAATGAATTGCAATAATCCAGTCTACAGGATACAAATCCATGGATTGCCATGGACAAATCACAGTCTGATACGATAGAGAGCAGTCTTTTGCCCAGCCGTACCTGGAAGGTAAATTTTTTTTTTTTTTTTTTTTGTCAGCCATAGCTATTTGGATACTTAAGTGAAATTGGGAAGTCCAGAAAGACCCCAAGACTGTGAACCATCTTGATAAAATTTGTATCCATATCTGATCTCTGATCTGCAAACATGGTCCGCAGATATCTGCAGATTTGCAGGAAAGTGTAGGACTGGAAGGGACCTCAAGAGGTCATCTAGTCCAGTCCCCTGCACTCAAGGCAGGACTATGTAATTATAGAATCATAGAATCATAGACTATCAGGGTTGGAAGGGACCTAAGGAGGTCATCTAGTCCAACCCCCTGCTCAAAGCAGGACCAATCCCCAACTAAATCATCCCAGCCAGAGCTTTGTCAAGCCTGACCTTAAAAACCTCTAAGGAAGGAGATTCCACCACCTCCCTAGGTAATCCATTCCAGTGCTTCACCACCCTCCTAGTGAAAAAGTTTTTCCTAATATCCAACCTAAACCTCCCCCACTGCAACTTGAGACCATTGCTCCTTGTTCTGTCATCGGTACCACTGAGAACAGTACAGATCCATCCTCTTTGGAACCCCCTTTCAGGTAGTTGAAAGCAGCTATCAAATCCCCCCTCATTCTTCTCTTCTGCAGATTAAACAATCCCAGTTCCCTCAGCCTCTCCTCATAAGTCATGTGCTCCAGACCCCTAATCATTTTTGTTGCCCTCCGCTGGACTCTTTCTAATTTTTCCACATCCTTCTTGTAGTGTGGGGCCCAAAACTGGACACAGTACTCCAGATGAGGCCTCACCAATAGAGGGGAATGATCACGTTCCTCAATCTGCTGGCAATGCTCCTACTTATACAGCCCAAAATGCCGTTAGCCTTCTTGGCAACAAGGGCACACTGTTGACTCATATCCAGCTTCTCATCCACTGTAACCCCTAGGTCCTTTTCTGCAGAACTGCTGCCTAGCCATTCGGTCCCTAGTCTGTAGCAGTGCATGGGATTCTTCTGTCCTAAGTGCAGGACTCTGCACTTGTCCTCGTTGAACCTCATCAGATTTCTTTTGGCCCAATCCTCTAATTTGTCTAGGTCCCTCTGTATGCTGTCCCTACCCTCCAGCGTATCTACCACGCCTCCCAGTTTAGTGTCATCTGCAAACTTGCTGAGGGTGCAGTCCATACCGTCCTCTAGATCATTAATGAAGATATTGAACAAAACCGGCCCCAGGACCGACCCTTGGGGCACTCCGCTTGACTGGCTGCCAACTAGACATGGAGCCATTGATCACTACCCGTTGAGCCTGACAATCTAGCCAGCTTTCTATCCACCTTATGGTTCATTCATCCAGCCCCTACTTCTTTAACTTGCTGGCAAGAATACTGTGGGAGATTGTATCAAAAGCTTTGCTAAAGTCAAGGAATAACACATCCATTTCTTTCCCCTCATCCACGGAGCCAGTTATCTCGTCATAGAAGGCAATTAGGTTAGTCAGGCATGACTTGCCCTTGGTGAATCCATGCTGACTGTTCCTGATCACTTTCCTCTCCTCAGAGTATTCAGAAGTGATTCCTTGAGAACCTGCTCCATGATTTTTCCAGGGACTGAGGTGAGGCTGACTGGCCTGTAGTTCCCCGGATCCATCTTCTTCCCTTTTTTACAGATGGGCACTACATTAGCCTTTTTCCAGTCATCCGGGACTTCCCCCGATCGCCATGAGTTTTCAAAGATAATGGCCAATGGCTCTGCAATCGCATCTGCCAGCTCCTTTAGCACCCTCGGATGCAGCGCATCCGGCCCCATGGACTTGTGCACGTCCAGCTTTTCTAAATAGTCCCAAACCACCTCTTTCTCCACAGAGGGCTGGTCACCTCCTCCCCATGCTGTGCTGTCCAGTGCAGTAGTCTGGAAGCTGACCTTGTTCGTGAAGACAGAGGCAAAAAAAGCATTGAGTACATTAGCTTTTTCCACATCCTCTGTCACTAGATTGCCTCCCTCATTCAGTAAAAAGAAGAACAGGAGTACTTGTGGCACCTTAGAGACTAACAAATTTATTAGAGCATAAGCTTTCGTGGACTAAAGCCCACTTCTTCGGATATCCGAAGAAGTGGGCTGTAGTCCACGAAAGCTTATGCTCTAATAAATTTGTTAGTCTCTAAGGTGCCACAAGTACTCCTGTTCTTTTTTTCATAGAGGATATGGCCATCAATGGCTATTAGCCAAGAAGCCCAGGGATGCACCCTAGTGTTTTAGGTGTCCCTGCACCTCTGACTGCCAGCAGGTGGGACTGGATGATTAGGGATGAATCACTCGATAATTGCCCTGTTCTGTTCATTCCCTCTGAAGCATCTGGCACTGGCCACTGTTAAAAGACAGGATACTGGGCTAGATAGACCATTGTTCTAACCCAGTGTGATCATTCTTGTGTTCAGTTGTCCCACTGAAGAGGTTCAATGTCCGAAAGCTCCTGTCCAGTGGAAGAACAAGGTGTCATTCCTTTAAGTATCAATATTCTGCTGGAAAACTTGTATTTCATAGGTTAGATGTGTGGTATCTGCAGTAGTATTGGCAGTGAGTTTTGCTCAACATAATAGCTAATGTATACTGGAGAGAGATCCAAGACATCCCTACTTTGGATAATACTTGATCTGCAGTGACAAGATACGTGCAGTACATGTGTGCCCTTTGGGGCAGACATTGATATCTGTTTTCAACAAGATGACTGCCACCAGCTAGAGGCTCCGAAATGCCATGTAATTTAAAATGCATTGCAGCTTTGATTCATGGTAAACCTGTTCCTTGACCTAAGCATGTTCATAACAGCATCCATTTTGCTCAGCTTTGCAGTTTTCTTCTAGTACTGACAGAATGGCAGTTCTGAATGCCAAGAAATAGAATATTTTACATATTTTTCTAAACTTAAATTTCCTTTGAAAAACAAAGATCTATCAAATGTATGTAAAACAGTTTATGAAGTTAAAAATGCATTCAAATCTATTCCTGCTCCAGAACAGTTATGCAACAGAAACCGTATATTCCACTTTCCACTGCATCTTGAAATAAACCAGGTTTACCCTGTTTCTATGTTCCACCTTTGATCACAGAAGTAACACAAGATTTTCAAGAAGGGAACTGATTTCCCAGTTTCTCTTGCTTTGTTTCAGAGTTATGCACAGCCAGGTCTTCAGTATATCCAAGGGCAGCCGATTTACACAGCTCATCCACAGGGAGTGGTGGTGCAGCCGACGGCAGCAGTAACAACCATCGTAGCAGCCGGGCAGCCTCCGCCCATACAGCAGGTGAGCCTGGAGCGTTACAGTCCAGCCTGGTAACATGCCGGCAACAATGGGGTGCAATTTTTTTCATGACCCATGAGAGAGAATGGCTTGATGTATATCCCATTTGGTGTACCCTTCCCCTGTTTCCCTTTTATGTTGGGGAGGACAATATCCTGTCCATTTCCCCTAAATTGTCACTAGAAAGCCAGTGGGTTTACTCTCAAAAGAGTAGTTAAAACCTAGAGTTGATTCCTTTGCAAACAGCAACCCTCCCCTTGCTCTACTGTCTGGCATTGTGAGAAGGGCTGGTTGATTTCATATCCACCGGTTTTGTCTCCCACTCAATAGCATTTGTACACATAGTACTCTCATAAGCTATCTATCTTAAAATGGCACATCCTTTTCTCTTCCCTCTCTCTTTGTGTGGACTTTGCTGTGAATGATTCCTAAGCTTGATCCTCTGTCCTGAGAAAAGAGAATCACTTGTGTTATGTTTGGTGATCTGGCCTCAATGCTGCTCTGTGTAAGGAAAATATCTCTGCTTCCCTACCAGCCTCCTGTCTCCCCACTGTATAGGAAAGGTGATTAGGTTCTATAGTGGCCTTGGTTTCAGACTGGATTCAGTATACTAAGCCTTTATCACGTGAAAAGGGCTGGTGGTGCTGTTCTTGTCGGCCGCCTGATGGAATGACGTAGATTCCTCTGAGGCTATTGACTGCCTAAAGTTATTTCTACACTACAGACTTCTGCTGGCATAGCTACATCAGTCAGGATGTGATCCTTGGCTGACATCACTGTGGCATCGGAAGCCCTGAGTGCATATGCAATTATACCAGCAAATCTGTGCTTTTACCAGTATAGCGTCTTTCACTCATCTTTGCTGGTATAGCTGTGTCCGCACTAGGAGCACTTTGCTGGGATAGTATGCCAGTTTTCGTATACATATTAGGCACTTCTAGTGTAGACATGGTCTTAAACTCGCTAAGTTAATCAGCAGCATCACATTGAAAGTGAAGGGTGGCCCACTTGACTACTGCTTTATGAATGGACTTGGTCAGGTAACCATTACTTTTTTATACACCGTAGGTTTGTATTAAAAACGTTGTAATATCGTCGTTCTTTGCTCATCTTTCTCTCTTTGCTGTCGTTGGGGTATTTTTAGCCAGAGCTGGTAGTGACCAACAATCTTCTGGATCTACCGCCGCCATCTCCTCCAAAACCCAAAACCATTGTCCTCCCTCCCAACTGGAAAACAGCCCGCGATCCAGAGGGGAAGATCTACTATTACCATGTGATCACAAGGTAAATGTTCACTTACCTATTCAGTGCTGGTGTTCTTATTCATGTGTAAAAACCGCACCCTTATTCTGTGTTGGCGGTATTCCAAATTACTGTGCAATGTATTGTACTGTCTCTACAATGCCACACCAAGGTGCTGCAGGAGGTAGTGCTGGGAATTCGTTTAGCAGTGTCCCTCTATGTCAGCACGGAGCCGATAACCCAGAATGATGGTAGGGGTGCTCTCCTTCTAGAGGTCTTTAATCATTAAAGACTGAGATTTTTTGCAAGTGGAGAGGTGTTAGCCCCAGCATCCTGATGAAATGTTCGGCAAATACAACCTTCAGTTTCAATTGGAAACAGTTTTCCTCTTATCTTCCTATTTTAAAATGTTGTGTTATGCTGCTGTGCTTCGTTCAAACAGCTGTTGTATTCCACCCCAGCAGTGGGTGAAGCAATTCTTGAATACATCATAGATTGTAAGTTTTTTGGGGCAGGGGTCCTATCTGTTTACCTCTCTGTAAAATATGTACCACACTTTTAGTGCTATATAAATAGTAGCATATGTAGTCTTTTAAAGTGCTGAGAGCTTTTGAGATGAGACACCATGTAAATGCAACATGTTATTGTTTCTTAGATGTGCTTACAGCACTGCTGTATTTCCAAGGTGATTATGGCTTCTTGGCATCATAGATCTATTTCCCCACTTTCAGCCTTCCCATCCTTAAACCTGTGATCAGCATTGTAGTAGGTCAGAAAAAGGAATGTCGTTTTCTTGCTGAATGTTAAATAAGTTGCCATTACTGTTGTGGCCTATTCTAGTACATTAATATTGTTTTTTAGATCTGACCAATACATATTCAGCTTCACAAGAGTGAAATGCCTGTGAGCTGTATGGAAACTTTTAAAAACACCACAGTAGGGGGCTCAAACTATAGGCATACCCCCAAATAAAAAAAAGTAAGAGAACCAAAAAAACCGCCACCTTGGGTAAACAACAGAGTAAAAGGGGCAGTTAGAGACAAAAAGACATCCTTTAAACATTGGAAGTTAAATTCTGCTGAGGAAAGCAGAAAGGAGCATAAACTGGTAAGTCAAGTGTAAAAGCAAAATGAGACAGGCCAAAAAGATAATTTGAAGAGCAACTAGTAAAAGACGCAAAAACTAACAGCAAAAATGTTTTGAAGTACATCAGAAGGAGGAAGCCCGCCAAACAATCAGTGGGGCCATTGGATGATTGAAGTGCTAAAGGAGCAATCAAGGAAGACCAGGCCATGGTGGAGGAGCTAAATAAATTCTTTGCATTGGTCTTCACCGCAAAGCATGTGAGGGAGATTCCAACACTTGAGCCATTCCTTTTAGGTAACAAATCTGAGGAACTGTCCCATATTAAGGTACCAATAGAGGAGATTTTGGAACAAATTTAGAAATTAAACAATAATAAGTCAGCAGGACTAGATGGTATTAACCCAAGAGTTCTGGAAGAACTCAGTTATGAAATTCCAGTACTAACAATTGTGGTATGTAACCTATCGCTTAAATCAGCCTCTTTACCAGATGACTAGAGGATAGCTGATGTAATGCCAATTTTTAAAAAAGGCTCTGCAGGCAATCCTGTCAATTACAGGCTGGTAAACCTAACTTCAGTACCAGACAAATTGGTTGAAACTATAGTAAAGAAAAGAATTATTAAACACATAGATGAACATGATATAATGGGGAAGAAGCAAAACAGTTTTTGTAAAGGGAAATCATGCCTCACCAATCTATTAGAATTCTTTGAGTGTGTCAATAAACGTGGACAAGAGTGAGCCAGTGGATATAGTGTACTTGGACTTTCAGTAAGCCTTTGACAGTGTCCTTTACCAAAGGCTCTTAAACAAACTCAGCATCATGGGATAAGGGGAATGCTCCTCTCATGGATCAGTAACTGGTTAGGAAATGGGGAACACAGGGTAGGAATAAATGGTCGGTTTTCACAGTGGAGAGGTCCCCCGCAGTTTTGTACTGGGACCAGTGCTGTTCAACATGGTCATAAATGATCTGGAAAAAGGGGTAAACAGTGAGTTTGCGGATGATACAAAACTATTCAAGATAGTTGTCCACAGCAGACTGCGAAGAGTTACAAAGAGATCTCTTTATAACTGGGCAACAAATTGGGAGATGAAATTCATTGTTAATAAATGCAAAGTAGTGCATGTTGGAAAACATAATCCCAACTATACATACAAACTGATGGGGTCTGAGTTAGCTATTACTATTCAAGAAAGAGATCTTGGAGTCATTGGGGATAGTTCTCTGAAAACATCTGCTCAATGTGCAGCAACAGTCAAAAAAGTTAACAAAATGTTAGGAACCATTAGGAAAGGGATAGATAAATCAGATAAAAAAAATCATAATGCCACTATATAAATCTATGGTATGCCCACACCTTGAATACTGCATGCAGTTCTGGTTGCCCCATCTCAAATAAGATATATTAGAATTGGAAAAAGTACAGAGAAGGGCAATAAAATGCGTAGGAGTCTGGAACAGCTTCCATGTGAGGAGACTGGTACTGTTCAGCTTGGAAAAGAGATGACTAAGGGGGGATATGAGAGAGGTCTATAAAATCATGACTGGTGTGGAGACAGTGAATAAGGAAGTGTTATTTACCTCTTCACATAACACAAGAACCCTGGATCACCAAATGAAATTTATAGGCAGCAGGTTTAAAACAAACAAAAGGCAATACTGCTTCACACCCCCACAGTCAGACTATGGAACTCATTGCCAAAGGATGTTGTGAAGGCCAAAAGTAAAACTGGGTTTGAAAAAGGATTAGATAAGTTGATGGACGATAGGTCCATCAATGTCTATTAGCCAAGATAGTCAGGGATGCAACCTCGTGCTCTGGGTGTCCCTAAACCTCTGGCTGTTAGAAGCTGGGACTGGATGACAGGGGATGGGTCACTCGATACATTTTCCCGTTTTGTTCACTCTCACTGAAGCATCTGTCACCGGCCACTGTCAAAAGACAGGATACTGGGCTAGATGGACCATTGGTCTGACCCAATATGGCCATTCTTCTGTTCTTATGCTTTATGTGGTTGTTAAGGTTTTTCATGGTTATTGTAAGTCAGAAAAGAAGTTTGGGTGGGAATTCAGCTTCTTAGGACTTGTCTGGATTGGGCAGCGATCGATCCAGCAGGGGTCGATTTATCGCGTCTAGTCTAGACATGATCAATCGACCTCAGAGCGCTCTCCTGTCAACTCCGGTACTCCAGCAGGGCGAGAGGCGCCAGCGGAGTCGACAGGAGAGCATCAGCTGTCAACTTACCATAGTGAAGACACCGCGGTAAGTAGATCTGAGTACGTCGACTTCAGCTACGTTATTCATGTAGCTGAAGTTGCGTAACTTAGATCGATCTCTCTCTTTCTCTCTCCGACCCTGCATATAAAAGGAATGACATGCAATTCAGCCTTCAGCTGTTGGTATTGATACATTTAGGCAATGGATCCTCCATCAGTTGCTTTGGAAACTGCTGACTGAACATTATTAGACTTAAACTCATAGCAGTCTTACCCCCTGGAAATGTTTTGTAAGCACTTTTTTTTTTTAAGTAGCAGCATTCTAAGGCTGATACCTAGAGTCCGATTGCATGATTACTCATTTCCCCCACCTTTTACTTATCAGTCCATTTTTCCCTGTGGGGCAGATATTAGTTTAATATTATGGCTTATGTAGTGATGGAATAAAATCCAGCTGCCCACCATTAAGTAGGTTTTAAAAATAGCGTCTTGGGTTTGCAGAAGGACATGTGGTCCATTTAAACAAGCATATTTGATTTTCCCCACAGTCCTCTCATAGACTTTAACGTCAGAAGGGACCATCATGATCATCTAGTCTGACCTGCACATTGCAGGCCAGAGAACCTCACCCACCCACTCCTGTAATAGACCCCTAACCTCTGGCTGAGTTTACTGAAATCTTCAAATCAAGTTTTAAAGATTTCAAGTTACAGAGAATCCATCATTTACTCTCCTCCCTGACCCCACCCCCAAAATAAGTTTCTGTTTGGATTGTGATGATTGTCTGGGTACTTCCATTGATGAGTCAAAACCAGAACCTTCAAACCAGATGGTCCCTTTTCTTCAGGGTTTCAGATTTTGTCCATAGTATACAGACAGCTGTAAGTCCAGGCCATGTTTGGAATCAAAAGTTAGAGATGGAAAAGACCTATAGCATTTGGTCATTTAGTCTATTTGCCAGGGCCCAGTGCAGAATAGTTCTCTCTGTTGTCTCCTTCAGGATTTTGATTAGTCTAATTTTAAATGATTCCAGTGATGGGATGGGACTTCCAAAACTTCTCCTGGGAGACCATTCCAGAATCAAATAGACAGCATTTTTAAGACATCTTTCCTGATAGCCTAGATTTTCCATTGCGCCCTTTCATCCCATTACTTGTACTTATCCCATCTTGGATCGCACTAAACAATTTCTCTCCCTTGTTGATGGATATACCCTTTTAGCTGGCAATTATATCTCATTTGTCATCATTTAGCCAAGCTTTTCCATATTAAATTAATTATTCTTCACCAATCAATCGATCTCTCCAGGCCTTTGTTCATTCTTGTTGCACTTCTTATGAAATCTTCCCTGTATGTCTGCATCTTTCCAGTAATGAAATGCCTAGAACTGAACACTTGATTCCAGGTGTGGTCTGACCTCATTTCTGTAGAGAAGAGACTACCACCCTCAGGCTCTGTGACGTGATGTCTCTGTACAGACAAACCAAAACCGTACTGTTTCTGCTTACTACCATGTTGCTTTGTAAATTCGTGTAATCCCTACACGTTTCAGTGTTAGTCTCCCAGGTATATGATGATTTCCCCAGATGCACTAGCTTGGATATTTTTGGATTGAACCTCATTTTATTTCATAGACATATCTATACTGCATAATTCTCTGTCTTCACTGGCAAGCAGAACTACCCTATTTGGTATCATCTGTGTATGCTATTATTGTGCTATTAGTCATTATTGATCTGGAAGAAGGGACAACATCAAGATTAGGTCTGCCCCTAATCCAGTGGCATGCTCATAGATGTCCCAACATGAAATGAATTGCTGTTTATTGTTGACTTATTTATAATACTTTCAATGCATGTGACACTGTTCATATCCCTGTCAATTAAAAATATTCTTTTCCAGGAAGTTTTTGTGAGGCACTGATTATGTACAATCAAAGCTGAGAGTCCTGTCCCCAGTCAGTTATTTGCAAGAAGGTAATCAGGGCTGTCTTCCAAGTGTCCAGAATAGAGGACATGATGGTAATTTCATGTGTGTGCTTCCATTACTCCAAGATATGAGTGAGACCATTCCCTTCTTTCTCTAGGCAAACCCAGTGGGATCCTCCTACCTGGGACAGCCCCGGAGATGATGCCAGCCTCGAACATGAAGCTGAGATGGACCTTGGGACTCCAACATATGATGAAAACCCAATGAAGGTAAGTGTGCAATCAGCAGGTGAAACATCTCATCTTTCACAGCTTCTTTAAATGGAGAGTGGAAAACTTGTGTCGTTCCATAAGTCCTGTGGCCAAATAATCTACTGTGTGGCAAATACAAACATGCAAGAAAATTCAAATTGTTGAAGGGGTGGATGACAATATCTTATATAGACTGAGTATGAACAGAAGATCGAGGTGTTCTTTTAAATGTGGACTGAAAAGCTCAAATTAATGGTCTGGCCAGATGTTTCTGAAAGCTTTGTTAGTAAATCATTAAACAAGGTTTTCCTTGACCCTTGACATAGGAAATAGGTGACCCTTTCCAATAAGAAAATATGTTAGTAGAGTGTTGGCCCCCACTAGCTCTAGAGAACACTAGTACCACCCATTCTGTCCCATAGCTGCTGAAGAAGTTTCTCTTCATTATCTGGAACTCCTCTTGCTGGAGCTAGGAGAGGGCCCTGGTAGACTCTCCTCTCAGACATGATAGCTTGTTTGTTAGAGGTCTTCCTGATGTTCCAGCTCCCCCTTCCTCCGCCAAATAAATAAATACCCATATAGGGTTTTTATTGACCCTGACACTAGCTCTTTTACAAAGTCAGTGTCATGGATACAGTGTTTGAGTCTGGCTGAGCAAAGAGAATTATCTTGTGGTGTTGGTCATGAAATAATTTTTGTATGTCCATATAGAGGTCATACTCTTAAAGCTGGGCATCAGCATTGCCCAGTGTGGAATCCTGTTTCTGGAATTGCGATTCGAGTGCAACTCGAGAGAGAGAAGCTTACTGTTCTTCTTCAAGTGATTGCACATGTCTATTCCGCTCTAGGTGTGTGCACGCCTCGAGCACAGTTGCCGGAAATTTTTCCCTCAATGGTATCTGTCAGATTGGCTCCAGTGCCTCCTGGTGCTGCATGCTCATGGTGCCGGTATAAAGGGGCCAGCCAACCCCACACCCCATCAGTTCCTTCTTACCGCCCGTGACGGATGCTGGAACTGCCCATTTCCCCTGTTTCTTTCTTCCAGTTATTTATTTTTCAATTGGACTGTAAATAGTTCTTGTACATAGTTTAGTTGAAGATTCTGCCTTATTAGTGGATTTTCATCCGCCCCCTGTGCCTTCTGCAGCAAGCCTATGCCTTTGAGTGACACACATACCAGTTGCGTAAAGTGCTTGGGTGAGGCTCATGTCCGAGACGGTTGTCGCATCTGCTGGGAATTCAAGCCTCATATGAAGGACCAGGAGGCCATATGGAAGTTCCTATTGATGGAAGAGGCATTCAGACGCTCTGCAGAGCCGAGCTGGTCAGACTCAGCACTGAGTACTTTAGCATCGGTGAGGATTGCTGTTCCCACTGTCAGGCACTCTCACCATTCTCTGGTGCCGAGAAGGAAAGATAAGAAGCAGCTGGCCGACAGGGGGCGTTCCCCTCCCTTGAGTCCAGTACCAGACCAGCCTGTGCCAGAGGGACAACGAGGGTCCAGTGCGATTGTGGTTCCTTCTGCCCTGGAGGTGTTCGCAGCGGCAAGAGACCTGCTGGCGTTATCGGTACCACCGTCAATCCAAAAGCAGGTGTCGGCGGTGCAGGTGGATAGAAAGGAGCACGTCACCCCAAGCTGCCCTCTGTACCGTCTAGCGGGAAACCATCCCTGCTATCCTCAATGCAGGTCTCCCTGTCTCAGCACTGATCTCCAGAACCGATGAGTACAGCACCTCCATGGTCCCCGGAGGAGGGCTCGACGTCTGAGTTGGAAGTGGGGTCGTATACCTAGTAGAGGGGTTGCTGTTGGTACTCCCTGGTCAGCCCTTTGTGGTGGTGGACCCGGGCTCAGATACCTCTGAGCACTTGGCCCAGTGCGCACTGTCCCATGCTGATGCAATGGCCATTTTGGAACCCTTGGGGTTTTCCTCTGATGTCAGGGACACATTCCAGACGCTCATCTTTGGTGGCCATGGAGAAGACTTCTCCATCCCATCATGCAGCACCTGACCTGGACTCTGGTACCGAACCCAGTTCTGATCCTTAGGATCTAGACCTGCAGGACCCAGTCGCTGCAGAAAGAGACAAGGAGGACCCCTTGCTGGTGATGACTTCAAAGCTCATCAGGAGCTGTTGAAGAGGGTGGCCTTGAACTTAGGGCTGCAACTGGAGATAGTCAAAGAATCCTCCCACAGCCTTGTCGACATCTTGGCTGCGGCTAGGCCGACTACAGTGGCTCTGCCTCTCAATGAGGCTATCATGGGACCAGTTAAAGCCTTGTGGCAAAACTCGTACTCCCTGCCGCCCACCTGTGGAGAGTTGAGAAGCAGTACTTTGTTCCCACCCAAGGGTATGAGTACTTGTACTCCCACCTCCCACCGGGGTCCCTGGTGGTCTCAGGGGCCACCGAAAGGGAGAGACGGGGTGCATGGAGCGATCCCTAAGACAAAGGACTCAAAGAAAGGTTTATTCTACAGAAAGTTTACCGCTCCACTTCTCCAAACAGGTGGTGTTAGGGAGATACGATTTTAATGTCTAGGACTCCATGTCAAAGTTCAGAGACTTGCTTCCCCAGGAGTCCAGGCAGGAGGTCACTTCTATCAGTGTGGAGAAGTCAATAGCCCGGGCCTTCCTGCAGGCCACCAGGGACACGGCAATCTCAGTGGCTAAATCCCTGGCTATGCACAGGTGCCTGTAGTTGTTGGGCCTGCCAACGGAGGTCCAGCAGTCTCTCCAGGACCTTCTGTTTGAAGGGTCCTTGCTCTTCTCAGACAAGACAGATGCAAAGCTCCATGGACTGAAGGACTCCAGAGCTCTACCCTCAGTCCCTGGGCCTTTACACCCCAGCGCCCTTGAGGGAACATTTCAAGCGTCAGCAGAGTGCCCATTTCTCCACTCAGCCATCCCAATCTACAAAAGAAATGAAGCTGGGGTTTAGGCGCAGACAGCCACCTCCATCCACCTCAGCATCTCTACCCGCCCTACCCAGACACTCGGGGAGGAGGGGCGGTGGGGGGGCTCTAAACAGAGCTTTTGACGGGATGCCCGAGGTCATCATATCAGTTCCCATAATGCTGGATCCTGCCTTCCCACTGTTTTCAGACTGCCTGTCCCACTTCAGCTGAGCAGGGTCTCATATAACCACAGACTGGGTGCTGAGTACTGTAAAGATGGGTTATGCTCTCCAGCTTGTTCCCACCCCTCTGTCCCACCCTCCCTCCCTGTCTCTCCTCAGGGACCGTGTCTCAAGCAACTCTTAGCCCTGGAGGTGCACGCCCTCCTCCGAGTGGGAGCCGTGGAGGAAGTTCCTCAGAACTTAAGGGGAAGGTGTTTACTCTGTTTCCTAATTCCCAAAGCCAAAGGTGATGTCAGGCCTGTCTTAGACCTGCGCCATCTCAACGGCTATCTCAAAAGGCTGAAGTTCTGCATAGTCTCCTTGGCCACCATCATTCCCTCCCTGGATTCGAGGGACTGGTATGCTGTTCTCTATTTGAGAGGCGCCTCTTTCCACATCACAGTTTTCCAAGGACACAGGTTAATCAAGTTCGTTCTGAATCAAGCCCACTACCAATTTGCTGTTCTTCCATTCAGCCTGTTGGCAGCCCATGGATTTTTATTAAATGCATGGAGGTACTGGCGGCCTTCTTGAAAAGGCGAGGGGTACAAGTGTACCCATATCTCAACAACTGGCTAGTCCAACCTAAGCCTGAGAAGGAGCCAGAATTTATCAATGTACATTGCCAAAGAACCACAGTAATACTTCAGCAGCCCCCCATGACCTCCCCCACTCTGCTCCCAGTGCCTACCACCCCCTGGCAGCCCCGCCGATCAGCACCTCCTGATCAGCTGTTTGGTGGCGTGCAGGAGGTTCTGTGGGGAGCGAGGGGAGTGGGGGCAGGGGTTGAGCACCAAGCACCCCCTGGCACATTGGAAAGTTGGCACCTGTAGCTCCAACCCCGGAGTCGGTGCTTATACAAGGAGTTGCATATTAACTTCTGAAGAGCCGCATGTGGCTCCGGAGCCACAGGTTGGCCACCCCTGGACTAGTAAAGGCCTGTCCAAGGCCCAGCGTCTGCTGCATTCAGTCAACCTTTCAGGCATTGGGCCTGCTGTTAAACAGAAGTCTACCTTCACCCTGGTGCAGAGGATAGAGTTTATTGGAGCAGTGCTCAACTCCAGCCAGACCAAGGCCTTCCTGCCGGAAACCCAATTCCAGATGATAGCATCGTTAATAGCACAGGTCCAGGCCCACCCTCTCACGATGGCACATTTCTGCCTCAGACTTCTATGGCCTTGTGCACATACAGAGTGCGGTATGCAAAGCTACACCTCTGACCTTTTCAAGCTTGGCTGGCCTCAGTGTTCTCACGAAGCCGCCACCACTTGGACTCAGTGCTCACTGTACCTCCCCTGGTCCTCGCCCCCTCTCGATTGGTGACGGGACCCTCTGACAGGCTGCACAGATATTCCCTTCATCAGGCTCCAGCCTTCGTTATCCCTAGTCTTGTATGCGTCGGAGCTAGGATGGGGGGGCTCGCCTGCAGCACCTCAGGACCCCATGGCCTTTGGGCCCAGGACGAGCTATCATTACATATCCACCTCAGAGAACTAGGAATGATCCGCCTAGCCAGTCAGGTGTTCCTACTGCACATCGCAAACAAGAGCGTGTTAGTGCTCATGGACAACACGGCAGCCATGTACTACCTCAGCAGGCAGGGTGGGGCTCGCTCGTCCCCCCTGTGCTGGGAAACTATTCGCTTATGGGAGTTTTGCATAATGCACTCAATCCACCTTGAAGCTCCTCACCTTCTAGGGGTCCAGAACAAACTCGCAGATCACCTCAGCAGATCTTTCCCCAGTTACCATGAGTGCTTCCTCCATCCGACATAGTGAGAGTCGTTTTCCAGCGGTGAGGGACTACCCACCAGTTTTGTTTCCTGCAAGGCCACAGCCCGGGGTTGCACACGGACGCTTTCTTGCTCCTTTGGACGGAGCATCTTGTTTACGCTTCCCCCCCC